AAATGAGAATATTATATATATATATATATTTATATATATGTTAAATTTTGATGATAATATTTTGATCAAAATTTCTTCCCTATCTAAATTAGGGGATATTTACTTTGAAAATTTTTTGTAATTAATATTCAGGATAAATCTGCAATATTTCCGATTGAGAATATTTTTTCAAGAATTTGAGGAGCTCATATAACAAACATTAAAACATTTACCATTTTAGAAGCCCATTTAGAATTTTAAAAGCCCTTTAATTAAGGAGGCCCATCCTGTCCTTAAAATATTCTAGGTCTTATAGGCTTAAATTTGAGCGGCTGTTTGGTTGTCTGAAAAAGAAATACAACGTAAAGTAAATGCAGTGTAAAGTTAATGTATTGTATTCCAAATACATTGAGACTGTTTGGTTGTCTGCAAAATAAACACATGAGAATTGTTTCCCTTGTTTGGTTAGGAAGATCCAGAGTAAAGTAAAAGTTATTTTTTAAAAAATAATTTGATAGAAATCATGGATATTCATGCAACCATCTGTTAGTATTTTCATCAAAACCTCTAAAAAATTTTCTACTCTGTTTGAGGCCGCTATAACTTTAATAAAGATGATTATAAAACTACTACGATAAAAGTAACTTTTAAAAAATAATTTACTTTTTTCCGGGACGGATAGAAAATTTTTGAGCTTCAGAAGATCAGTTAATATATCAGTTAATTTGGGTTTACATTAATCATGATATAATTAAGAGATATTTAAAAATTTAACTATAGATCAATTAAAGAAAAACAAAATTCAAAGAATGCCTGATGAAGTGCCCGGCCGTCGCCTGCCTATGGCCCCCTTCTGCGCCCTCTCACCGTATCACTGCCGTCACTGTCCTCCTCCACAACCCTCCATCACTCTTCACCGGTGGTTCCGACGGTGCTATCGTCTGCTGGGCCCTTTCCGACAACGATGTCCGCCCCCTCGCCCTCCTCTGTGGTCACGCCGCTGAGATCTCTGTTCTGGTCCCTTTCCGTCGGCGACGGAAGCTCCCCAAATGGGCGGGGATTCCTTCCCATTTGGCCGCTCTTCCATCTTCACCGCGCCACGTTTTGATCGCGTGCAGCTCAGGTGAGTCTTCGAAGAGTCCCGTGCTGATCGTGGACTCCAGCACGCTGCTTTTGGTGCAGACCATCTTACATGGGAGCTTGGGCATTGGGTATGTGAAGTCCATGGCGATCGTTGGACTCCAGCACGTGCTGATCGTGGCCAGAAGGAAGAAAAGGCCGTGGGGAAGGAGCGGATGGGATAAGGGTAAGAAGCCGAGGACGATGAGTGAGCCTTTACTCGCCAGAGGTGGCAGCGGCGCAGAGGGAGATGCATAGATTGCACCATCGCTTCTCGGCTCCCTTGTCGTCGTTCAACTTCGTTCATTTGCACGAGAGCGAGAGCGCATACCGCACGGGATCGCTCCTTCTTTCCTTCGTTGCTGTTCGACTTCGGCTCCTCTTGGCTGTTCGACTTCGCTCTTCGCAGGATGGCACGAGGCTGGTTCTCCAGCGAAGAATTTCAAACCCGCTCGTTTTGAGCGGCTTTCGAAGTCGCGGGATCCGCCTCCCGTAATACACGATTAATGCATTGGAGGTTTTCCTTTTGTTCCGCTAAAAATTAGCCAAACAGCAAAATTTAATAAATACATGTATTTGTTTTACTTTACCCTCTTAATTCAGGCAACCAAACATCCCCCATGGTATATGCGGGAGGCACGCTTGATTGGTTATAAAATAAATAAATAAATAAAAAGATAATTTATTATTCTGCTAATAAAAAATAAATTTATTATTTAATTATGTCCAACTAAACACAATAGATTTAACAAATTTTCACATTTTCAAAATATGATTTCTAATTTCATACGCTTAAAAGATCCCTAATTAAACAAATTAGGAAAGGCAAATTTTAGTGGGAAAGATTTTGGTTTCGTTTGTGACAGTTTTTTTACTGCTTTCTAAAACAATTTTTGAACCAAAAAATTTTTTCAACTAACTTTTTTGTGCTAGAATTCATAATGGCTATTGCTACTATTTTTACAAGGTTTAGTCACACTTATGTTAGGCACACTTATGCTTCGTTTAGGACGGCTTTCTTACTGTATTAAAAAGCAACTTTAAGAAACAGTAAGAAAGTCTTTCCAAACGGAGTCTTGGTCGCACTTATTTTAGTCACACTTAATAGGTTAAAGCTTCGTTAGGTACAACTTTCTTACTGCTTTCTAAATTAGCTTTATACTATCTATTAAATTTTCATTTGGGACAGCTTTTTTCCTACTTTTTGAAGTAGCTTTTTAGTATAAAATTAAATTTTTTTTACTAAAAAGCTATTTCAAGAAACAATAAAAAAGACGTTCCAAACGAAGCCTAAGTGTCAACAAATTTTTGTATTAGAAATCTACTTTAGAAAGCAACAAAAAAGCTGCCCCAAATGAAGCATAAATCACACTTATGTTAGGCTAATTCATATTGGCTATTGCTTCTACTTTTACAAGTTGATGAAATTTACAGTGGTGCATATTTATTTGCCATCAACAACATGAGAACTATATAACTATAGGTTTATGGACAATATCCATTTACTTATGAATCTTTTATTATTTTTTTTGTAATTAGATTTCATTTCATAGAAAATAAGAATTAGTTCACCCACCCAATAATTAATCAACTCTATTATTATCTATTTAATGGTTTTCATGTTTAAAATTAGAATATAGTGATTACGTGAATGATGACAATATCTCGTTATGTGGATGGGAGACTAACCTATTATATAATTTTGATGTATTTACATTCCTAACAACTAAATTTTTATATTTACCTATAAAACATAATAATCTTTAAATCAAATTAAAAAATTATATTATAGTAACTGTTTAAAAAATAAAATATATATTTTCATTTATATGATTTAAATTTTAATTGATTGAGTCACAACAAGCTTATATAAGATGTTATTTGATTTGCTGAAAAAAAAAATACTGAGTATTAGGTCATCAAAAATTGTCTTTGTCGGCAAACTTCCATCAACCACCATCAGGCCGCCAACCATCGCCCGGCTGCCGATCGTCGCCAAACCACCGCCCGTTCACCGACCGCCACCAGACCTCTACCTGTCTACTGACTTCCACCGGACCTCTGCTCAGCCACTGAACATTGTCGGACCATCGCCCGTCAATCGATGATCACCACTAGACCTCCGTACGACTGTCATCAACACACTACTCTGACCTCCGTCACCCACCGACTACGATCCCTCCTACTACCATCACTCGCCGACTACGACCTCTCTGATCACCGTCACTCATCGACTATGGTCCCTCCAACCTCCGTCAACCGTCGACTAAGGTCCCTCCGACCTCTATTGCCCACCGACTACGGTTCCTCCAACAGTCATCGCACGCCGACTACGGTCCTTCGTTTCCTGCCAACAACGAACCCATCAACCACCATCGCCTACCAAATATGATCCCTATGACCTCCGTTGCTTGCTGACTATGATCCCTCTGACTTTTATCTCTCGCCGACTATGGCCCCTTCGATCACCGTCGCCCACCGACAACGGTCCCTCTGACAATTATCGCTCACGGACTAGGGCTTCTCCGACCTACGTTTCTAATCGACTATGGTTCCTCTGAAATCCATCTCCTGTCGATTACGGTCTCTCCAATCACCATTGTCTGCGGACTACAGTCCCTCCAACTTTGGTTGCCCGCTAACTATGAACCATCCAACCTCTGTCACCCGCCGATAACAGTCTCTTCGACTTGCATCGCTATCCGCCTATGGTTCTCTAACCTTCTTTTTCTGCCGGCTGACCTCCATTGCCCACCGACTACGATACTTCCGACCTCCATCGCTCACTGACTATGGTCCCATTGTCACCTACCAACTATGGTCGCTCCAACAACCATAAAAATTATGGTGTATGTTAAGATTCTAGCATCCTCTTATCTATTTGTGTGTTGGATCTTTGTATAAACATTGGATGCTAAACTCTATATCTCTCGACCATCGTGAATGTTCCAGAACGCAACACTGAATAAGATGAAATGCAGTGCAAGAGGATTACCATATATTTGAAAATTTTGGAGTTCTTTGAATTAGTGTAAAATAAAAGCAAATCAATATCTTTTTTTTTTTAATTTGGGTTAAATTAAAATGATTATGATTCAAGCAAAAAGATAATAGTGGCAAGTGGTTGGCAAAAGATAGTGAACAACAACAAAAAGTGGTAGGTACGTAGTTGGTGGCGGGAGCGGGCGGTAGAGGTGATGATCTGCGGGTGAGGGCCACAAGTAATGGTCGTTGCTGGAGGCTAGCAATGATCAGCACGTGGTGGCCACGGTTGGTGGTAAAGAATTTATAATGTATTTGAAAATCAATCAAATGTAATGATTTCCAAATACACTAAAAACAAATTAGATGATGCATTCCAAATTCGTTAAAATCTTACTATAAATTTCTTTTATTTCAAACGAAACATAAATATTTTCGACACTCCTAAATTTGTCATACCTTACATCTATTTTACTTCAAATGCCCTATGACAACTATTTTGAAAAAGAGGTAGGTATAAACGGAACAATAAAATTGCTTCAAAGCTTCTATAGTATATTTCGCAAAAAGTCGCAAAATAAATATTCAAAATAAAGGCATAATTTGGTCTTAAAATAAATAATAAATTTAAGTGTCCTACTGTGATTAATTTTTGAATAATTATTTAAATAAACTATATTTTAAATCAAATATTCCAAATTTAATTATTATTATTGAAGGTTCAAACATAAAATTATAATAAGATATTCTAATATAATAATATTTTCCCCACTTGTGATAAAAAAAAATCTTAATTTTGTTGTTCCTCATAGACCAACCAATTTAGAATTTTACTTCATTCGGTTTTCATCCTCACTACGTTTAGTTTTTCTTTGCACTATTAATTGGATTCAATTTGAGAAGATAATATATTAATTTGAAGATAACTAAGTGGATTATGCATGCTATTTAGAACATGCTAGCACTAGGGTTGTGATTTAGACTTCATTTGGGATGACTATTTTATGGCTTCTTAAACCATCTTTTAGTACAAAAAAATAATTTTTATACTAGAAAGCTGCTTTAAGAAGCAATGAAGAAGTCGTCCCAAACGAAACATAAGTCAAGTCGACTGGTGCGTACGCTCAAGCTTGACTTTCTAAATGGTTCACGATCTGAGCTCGATGAGCTAATAAGACAAATTTGAGCTACGTACTTTGATTTAATTTGTTAGCTTTTTAATAAAACAAATTATAAAATACACTGAAATTTTTATTAAATTTTCTAGAATTTAAGTAAAACTTGAATATATATATAGAGTGACTTTATATTATTTATCTTTTAATTTCATATTTTATTATCTATTTTTAACAATGATAGTTTAAATCAAAATCTTTTTTTTTTTCTCATAATAAATAACTCAGTGTATGAACCGTCTTGAAGTAGAAGAATTTAGCTCAAACTTGACTAATTAATTAAGTTCAAGTTCAAGCTGATTTGGGTCGAGCCAAACTTGACTCATTTAAACCTTTATTTTCATACGTTTTGAGATAGTTTAGGATTGTTTGAGCCTAATGGTATATACTAGTCAAACACAATCTAAGCAGACAGACTAAGCTCTTCTACTCAATTGCAAGCTCCAACTCAAGTTTGAATTTGGTTCAAGCTTATTTGGCAAGCTCAAATTTGACTCATTATAAAAATAGCATGCTCGGGCTTAACTTGTGAGCTCGAACCAAAGTCATGATTGAAACTCACTACAAAAGGATGAGAACTTTATAGAGATGGAATAGTCATGGATTAGCTAGAGAAGGCCGTGATTGCATCAACTATATATGCTAGAGGAAATAGTAAGGGGAGTTCATTAGAGCAAAGTAGTCAGGGGAGCCCTAGTTGAAACTTACTATAGAAGGCATTGATGGTAGGGTGAAACTCTGTTTCCTTTCCTGAGTCCCCTCTTGTCACTTATTCTGATCTGTTTGGTTTTATGGGTTTTTACTTTTTGTATCACGTGTTGTTGGCCTTTAGAAGTTGTACTCCCCCCACTTTTATTTTCTATGAATAAATTTGTCTTTTTGTTGGAAAAAAAAATTAAGAGATAAATTGTGATTATTCTATTATTGTTGGGGGCCTTCTGCTTCGTTGTTGGTCGGTGTGTGTCACTATGATGGTGACTTTTGTGGATGTGGTTGGCTTTCGTTTGGTTGGAATGCGGTGTTGGGCTTTGTAGTTGTATTGTTCTTTTGTGGGCAATGATGTTGCAGCTTTTTGTTTACCACCTGGACAAAAGTGACTAATGGGAAACCATTGGTGGTGTTTTAGTTTGTCTTTCTTTTGTGTGGATTGTTGCTTGTTTCCTCCTCTGGAAGGTTCGAGTCTAGCGTCTGGATAGTGGCAGGGAGCTTTTGGTAATTTGTAAGCCCATCTAGCTTCTTAATTTTCAATTCATTATTGTTTGCTTTCTCTTTATTTCTAAATTTGGTCGTGTAATCCTACTTTGTTCTTGTTTTTCTTGGTTGTGCCCTTCTTTATTTGATGAATTAAAATATCTATATTATGTTTTAAAAAAATGATGGGAGAGTGAAAAGAAGTTGCAACAAGAGTTTGCTAAATAAGGTATAGACAATAACAATAATACTAAAGTCTCAATAGGAGCTTGCTAAAGAAGGCATCAATGATACCAATGCTATAGAAGACATTGACTGATCTAGTAGTATTCGAAGAAGAAAATGAGTTCATGAGACTTGTGGCAAAGATTTGAATTGGGATTAGCTAAATTAGGGAGAATATTGAGATTTACGATTTGTAATCGAGCTTGCTTGCGAGCCAAAGTGTCGATTCTTGCCAAACTTGAACACGTGCACATTTAATACGCAAGTTTTGATTTAAATTTGAGCTTAAGATTATGGCTCGACAAGCTTGATTTGTGGACTCATTAATGAGTTAATTTCAAACTGGCTCGACTCACCTACATCCCTAGCTAGAGCCCTTTAGTGCTCATTAATATCTTCCCAAAGTTTGTAAACATAAAATTAATCTTTTGTTTTCAATTTGTTTTGCAAATAAATAAAGTTAATAAATAGATTATCATTTAATTAAAATCATAATTCTACACTCATTAATTTACCTAATTAATAAAATTCAAAAATCCTCACATCTAATTTAACAGTCATTGATTGATCATATGAATCAAATCCCATATGATTCACATCAATTTTCACAATCTGTAAATCTTGGTAGCGAATTTTATTGTGAAAGAAACAAAGTTGAGGTGAGCTAAGCTTAAAAATCTCAAAAGAACTGTCCAAATGTTGGATATTTATTATTAGAAATTTGAATAGTTTTTATATTGTTGCGCATATAAATCATAAATGTCATTTAATATAGGATATATTAGCAAATGACCATAAGATTTGAATAGTGGATTATGCACATTGCTACCTATTTAAATTTGCAGCTTAATTGAAGGGATGGATTCTACCGTTTCAGAATGATAGAAAATATTCAAATTGGCTATTTTTAGATATATAAATGAAAAAGATTTGAATGATATGACCGTTATTTTTCAAAAAAACATTATGCAGAGAGAAAAATAATGGGATATTGGAATTAGTAGAAAGTTTCTCTAAGTACTCAGGTCTTTGCTTCATCTATTCCACAAACACAGCAGAAAATTAAATTTGCACTCTAAAAGCTCATCATGATCTAGCGAAAACTGAAACCCATTACTTACTGTTAAGGAGAAAAGAAAAAATAAAGGAAAAACAGTTAGCTGCTCCATCTGTTTTCAGAAGATATCTGCCTGATATACAGCCATCTCCTCAATCAACTCTCATATTCTTTAGCATCCATGTTAGCTGAAAGTTTTCAGTAGGCAAAAAATAAAATAATAATAATATTCTGTATTTGATCTATCAGATAATATGACCTCAGTAAATATCCTTAAAAAAAGTTTAAGAAAGAGAGAGAGAGAGAGATTTTACTGGAATTACTGAATTGATTTGAGAAGTTTACCTGCTGAAGTTGCAGGTCTTTGAGAATTGGGGCTTCGGACAATATATAGCCTTCTTACTGAAGCAAGGAACATCCTGCACATTTGTTTTTAGATGCTTAAACCAATTAAAGTTTTAATTAAGCTAATTATGGAATAAGATAAGTTTTTATACTACTTTCAAACACAAGATGAAGCTTTTGATTATTGATTATATGACAAATTTACTGCCATTAGATATGATTGAAAGTATCTAATAACCCATATAAAAGATAAAAATATGTATAATCATCAATTATCATTTTAAATAATAATATATCATCATTAAGATAATACCAAAATAATTTCCATGTATTAACTAAAAAACTAAATTATTATTTATATCTTTGGATCTATTTGAGACAGCTTTTTCAATGTTTTGCTTTTCATTTAGCTACTATTTTCGCGTCGCTTTCTCAGAACTTACCTTAAGTTTTTATTGCAAAACGTTATTTTTGAAACAAAAAAGCTAAGTTATTTTATACATAGCAATATTACAACAAACTTTATAAAATATTGCAGCCGTTCTAAATAGATCCCAAGTCGAAGTATTTTCTAGATAATTGTTGTGGTTTACCAAACAATAAACAAAAAGATAAAAAAAACCGTTATACAATTAATCATTATAATTTTGAGTAAAATAATTAACTAAGTAGAAAAGCTTACTCCCATGGCACATCACCAACAAGCATTCGATCTCCTTCATGATCTTCATAAAGAAGAAGATAATCACGATTAAGAGTTTCTCCTATATGTTCTTCAGGGATTGGGTAATCAACTGCAAGAGATATTTTAAAATAAAATAAAATAAAAAGTAAATTTCGTTTCTATCTATTTCGAAAATAAAATTTCTGATCTTATATATAAGAGACTTAAGATTGTTTTCTACTTACGAGAGAGAAAATTTTTGAACATTTTCTTGAGTGAAAGAGAGAGGGACTCATAGTTGGAATGAGCCTTGAGATCAATCTTCCTTCCTACAGCATAGCCTTCCATGTTCACTTTCACAAACATTGCAGAACTGTTCTTCACCTCGTCAACCAAAGCACCGAAAGGTTCTCCATCGCCAATCCTAGCTCTCTTAGCATCCCTCTCATCTTCTGTATCAGGTCTGGTTGCCTGTGAACTCAGCATATTCCTTCGAAAAGCGCAGACCGGCGGCCAGCCCACAACTGATGGAGATGAAGCTGGCTGAATTCCTCTAACAGTAACACAACACAATAATTAAGATTAATTATAAGGAAAAACTAAAGATGCTACGGAGTTAATAACAGATTAAGAGAGGTGATCCAGCTGAGTATCTTGTGATTGAATTTTACTGTGATGGAGTTGAAGCTTGAAAATCTTCTGAGGATTCTGCAAATGATGGATATTCAATATTTGAAGTTTGAATGAAATTTTGAGCCGTTGGGGGAAAAAATTGGCTTTTAAATGACATTTAGTAGAGGATCATATTGAACTTCTTGTGAATGAATTCTATTGTAACGGTAAAATTATTGCTCAGATACTGATGAATGAGCTTTGTATTATTAGAGAGAAATTTGTGCACATCACTGATTTTTAATTCAGAATCGAGCAGAATATATTGTGATTTTTTTTTTTTTTTTGAAAATTTCTTAAGGATTCAGTGAAAAATGGATATTTAATTCTTGGAGTTTAAAATATTTTGCGCATAAAAGAAAAAAATGTGTCTTTAAATGATATTTAATATAGCATGCGATAAGTCAGGCTAGGTTGGGCCTAATGGGCCTTTAGTTATAATTTGTTTAATTTCTAAGGCACGAGATGGGTCAGGTTAGTTTGGGCCTAATGGACCTTTCGTCAAAATCTGCACAGTTTCTATGAATATCTTATAGCGGCGAAAAAAATAGATAAAAATTGGATTTTTTATTTATATAATCTAAAATAAGTGTAATATATAGAAAAAATATATTATACTTATTTTAAAATAAAATTAAATATTTTAATTTGGTATGCTTCGACTCAAATTTGATTCATTTGAAAAAAATTTGGTTCAACTCGGAATTAAAATAAAAATTTGAAATATATAAAATTAATGATTTAAATTATTTTATAAATTAATAGAATTTATTATAAT